GTCTGTACTGTTCTCTTGCTATTTTGTAAAACGTTGTCTGTCTGTTAATGTTTTCCTCTTATTTTTAAAATAAAAAAAATTAAATAGCTAGAAATGAACAGATAAACAATAGGGAGAATATAGATGAGTTTTAATTATTTTCAGATTTACATCACATCTTTCCTTGAATGAATTAAAAAATGTCTAGATTTTTAATAATGTACCACCTCCCAAGATCAACATAAGGGAACTGAAGCCAACACCTTGTCTTTCCTCATGAGAGGATTGGGATGTGAAGACCTTTGCTGAAAGGAAAAGAGGAGAGAAAGAACTTCATGGGCAATGCTATAAATTGTGGGTTTTATCACAAGGGGATAGAACACTATTAAAGTGTTTTTAACATTTAACATTTCTTTGGGAATGACTATTACAGAAACAACTTCAAGGATGGTAAAAGAATCAAGAGCCTGTGAGATCATTGCCTGCCCTAGGTCGGAAGAAATGGGCTGCACTGGAGATAGGGAGTTTGGGTGGTGAAAGAATTAAGCATGGGTACATTTTACTTAGCTGAATCATGTTCTGATATTTTTCGTATTTTGCAGGTGTGGTCTGGCTGGTGGCAGTCATCGTAGGTTCACCCATGTGGCATGTGCAACGACTTGAGGTAGATTTGGGTTTGGGGCTGATAATCATATTATTGAAAGGTTTTCCTGCTCTTCTTAATTATAATCATTTTTTTCTTTCAAGAGTGAAACACTTTGTGTGATCTCAGTTACCTCACTAGAAGTCTTTCAAATGGAATAAAATAATTTGTTTTAAGGTTATTTTTTCTTCTGTCTCATCTACTTGTTTAGATACTGTATTTTTACTTTAAAGTAAAACCTTTTTAAAGATCCAAAGTCACTTCTTATATTTTTCTGCAACTTGAGCATGCACCCAGTGTCTTGTTACAAGTTAAGAATTCAATGATTGCTTTGATTTTTCTTTTATGCTTAGGTCACATAAACATTTGTAATAGGCTATTTACTTATCAGTTGATTCTTCTCTGTAAGTCCTTTCTTACTTGCCTCTTATTCACTAACAAATTGGAATCTGAATTGAAGATACAGTAGGGGATCACTTTATCCATTCTCTCTTCCTTTGTGAGATAGGACCAGTAAAGGGAGCAGTGTGTTGGCACAGCCCCTCCTTTGAAATGTCTTGTACTCCAACATGGGTAGTAGTCTTTTTGTTTGTTTGTTTGTTTGCTTGCTTGTTTTTGTTTTGTTTTGTTTTTTGTTTTTCTTCCGGTACCAGGAATCGAACTCATGACCTTGCACTTGCTAGGCAGGCACTTAGCCTCTGAGCTAAATCCCCAGCCCCATGGGTAGTAGTTTTCAAAGAGAGTTGGGGTGCTCACATAGTCCCCCACACAATTTATGCAGCGATATACCCCTTTGTACTTTTAAAAATCAAGATAGGCACATGTGAAACCATACTGGACCTGCCACATCCATCAGCATGGCTATAAAATGAACCCTAGGTAAGATTACATGTAAAAAGTAGCCTTGTAATTTTTATGTCACTGGCATATTGAATGAGCTGAGCTCTGTATATGGGAGCAGAATTCAATTTTTCCTATTCCTTGCTACCTATACAAATGGTATCTAAGAACTACCCAGTCTTTATGATGAAAGATCATGGATGACACCTTGAGCAGACCTTGTAACTCCTCCAGTCATTCCAGTAATCAAATTCCTTGGTTACATTCACTCCAAGAACCACTTTAGTTCTGTTATAAAATATCCAGTCTAATACACAATCACATAAATTCATGCCCTTGATCAAATTAAAACATTACTTTTTCTTCAGCTTGAATTGATTTTAAGTCTAAAATATGAAGGAGCACTATGGTCAGTTTTTTCATTTCCTTGCCTCTTGGTTCTCATTCTCCCCTTGTCCTCACTCCATTCTACTGGCTACTTTTCTCTTCCTTCTGGAACCCATGAGAATCCAGAGAGGAAGAGGCACCTGTCTTCTGGATTGGTGCCCTCTGGGTAAGACTGTGGACCTGGATGTGTTCTTAGCTTCCTAGCTTCCAAGTTCACACTGTTGAGGCTTCAAGTGATTGCCTTCCCCAGTCATTTGCTTGGGAAGACCTTTCAGCTGCTGCGCACAACTTGTACCAACAACACCTTTCTGCAGACACTGCCTCCTCTCCAGGAGAAAACTCACACTGATAGAGTCTCTAATAAATGACTTGATCTAGCTCCCAATTGTGGGGTCCATTTCTGTCCCACAGAAAACAAACAGATCCATTCATTTTCAAAATGAAATTATTTTACCATACACTCAATATATTTTAAACACACAACTCAGTTTGTAGAAAATACATTCTATGTAACGTAATTATACAGAGCTATCCTCCCTGTCAAACAGATGAGTCTAATCAGATTTGCTTCCTGTCAGGAAAAAGTCTGATTTTATTTTTTGAAAGGAGAATGTGTACATTCATGTGCATCCTGTGGCCACCCTCTCACTCTTAAATTCTACTAGTGAGAGTCTGAGAGAGAATGCAAGGAGCCTGAAATTCCCACCATCATAAAACAAAGTACCACCTTCCTCTGCATTTCTCATTAATCGTCTTTTTGCTTTATTCTCTGGGATGTCTCTCAAAAGTGCTATATTTAATCACTTTCAGGGCATGGAAGAAAGATTAACTTAAAATTCTCATCACCTCTACCCCTCCTCATATGAAAATGTGAATTCACAATATCCCAACACTCGTCAAAACACCACTTTTTCTAATGGCAGGGTTTATCTTTAATGAAAATTTATTTAAGACAAGGAAAAGTTCAAGGCTCCATCACGGGTTTATGGTGTCTGGATCAAGGTTTCTTCCCTGACCTCTCTTTGGTGTCCCATGGTAAAGTTTGGATTGGGTGAGAGACACGACTTTTACAATTTTGGAAATAGTCATTATGAAAAAGGAAGTGGGAATGTCAACCCAGCCTGAGATCTCAATTTCAGGCACCATCTTAAGCAGTGGAAGTTTAGAGAAGGTCGTGTCTAGAAATAGAGCATTGGAAATTGGTTGCCATAAATCCACCTATCAGTGTTTACTCGTCCCTAGGGTTACATGAACCAACTTTGAGGCTACCAGACCAGCACAGAGTTTAAGGGTTACATGTCAACCCATATCCATATAGGATTGCTAACCCTTGTAGAGTCTGCTTATGTGGAGTCAGAATGGATTTCACATTTATCACCTACTTGTTGAGAGTTTGAAGCTTCAACTTACTTTTTAATAGGAGCTTTCACATCTAGTTGTATTTGTTAATAACATCTATACCTGAACTTGATTTTTCTTACCTTATCAATTGATGTGGAAGATGGGTGATAAAATTTCTGGAAATGTAGACAAAAATATGTCCAAAATCTAAGTGTTCATCTGAAAAGTTCCAGAATGTCTAAAATGACATGTCTTGATAAAGTCTGTTATTTTTTATAACTATTAAGCATGTGTCTCTTAAAATATGCTTTAAATGTTTAGTTTATTCTTGAAATATGCCCTCTTACAATTTTCTAGTATTGTTAATTTTTTAGAATTTATAAGATGATTCTAGCAGAAATAATATCAAACAAATAAAATTTTAATATTTTTAGATTGGCAATAATTTTAATCCAATTTCTTATTCATCTCAGCATTTAAAATCTAACTGTTGCCTTTTTAATATGTTTCCAAGGAAACTGACAATTATAATATGAAATAATACTAAAAGTATGGCTTTCAGTACCTTCTCCTGGGAATATGTCTAATGACTTTGCAAATCTATTTTTGAACAATTAAATAAACCAAAAATTAATTAATACATTTAATTAGTGTTAAACTAATTAGCATTAATACAAAGTATTTTTCAATGTGTACTTTAGTAATTGTGCTCTTTCAGCTCATTGAAACTGTATGAACAGTGAAAATAAAGTTGACAAAGGTAAAAATGAAAGTAAATAAGCTGTGGACCTCAATTCCATTTAAAATAGAAAAATACACACTCTTAAGAATTTACACATCCTGATGGAAAAACTATGCTTTCCAACAAAATGCTGTATAATAAAAAATGATTGTTATTTAAAATATGTACCTGTGGCAAATTTGAAAGGGCTTAAAAACGCTGCATATTGTAATGATACTGGGCTGCTTCTGGTTTTTGTTGATGCTGACTACTGGCTCTCTTACCTGAATTATCCCTACTGTAAAGATCAAGTACGACTTCCTATATGAAAAAGAACACATCTGTTGCTTGGAAGAGTGGGCCAGCCCAGGGCACCAGAAAATCTACACCACCTTCATCCTTGTCATCCTCTTCCTCCTGCCTCTTATGGTGATGCTTGTCCTGTATAGTAAAATTGGTTATGAACTTTGGATCAAGAAAAGAGTGGAAGATGGTTCAGTGCTTCGAACTATCCATGGAAAAGAAATGTCCAAAATAGCCAGGTCTGTCATGAAATCTTCAGTTCTCCTTAAAATACTTTTAAAGCTGTACTGGAAGGGGCATTTGAGAGAGACACCAGAACCTCTAGGTAATTAGTCAAGGCATCATGTGTAATTCAAATTTAATTACACACGGACTGAACTGAAACCCTCAAGGTTTTATGAGGTTTTATGTGTGACAGAAAGAAAGAGCAAGATCGTCAGTTCTTAAATTAAAGAACTTAGGCTATAGATAGATACACATTTGGAATTTAGAGCACTGCTACATTTTCATCTATATGCAAACGTGACATGATGGCAAGAAGAGCTGTGGGGTGGTGTCAGGACCTGGTGGCGGCTGTCCTCTCCGTCCCTTGCCAGCCATGAGCAGTAGATCTGCACTCTTATTCCCCAGGCGTGTTATCCCCGTATGTCCAAGGGCCCAGTCAAAATCCACCCTTACTTCTTTCCACTTACAGGAGATAGCATGTATGACAACTTCTTGAAACCAGAGCATGCCAATCATTTTAAATTATTATTGATATGTTTCATTTTTACATAAGGGCTACACTGTCTGGTTTTATCCTTTAAGAGAAGTTTTAGAACAAAATTTACAAGTATGGCACTTTTAGTTCATATAATTTGTTGTTTTAGTCTATATCGAGTGATTATTAAACCAAAAACAAGCAATACCTTATGTGGAGAAATCTAGTGATTTGATAGAGTGTATTTATACATACATATCAATTCTTCAAGTGTGTAGTGCCCTCTAGTGCCCAGTTTTTATATAAAGACTCTTTTTCCTGGTGCAAGGGCCAGGGCCTGCTCAGTATCTAGCACTCATTGCTGAGCTGGTTGTCCTGCTTCCTCAAAAGAAAGGGTTACCAGGTGGAAATGGGAGATTATGAGTCTGAACTTTTATAGAGTTAAGGCACCATGCAAATATGTGCATGTCTCACAAATGTAAATCTACTTTATAGTAGTGAAGAAAATTACTTTGAATCACCCAACCATATTATTTAGATATAGTAAAAGATTGCATTTTAGTTCTCTGCTTAGGGCCTTTCTTATTTCATATACATTGATATTTACTATCACAGGCATGAGTGCCTTTCAATATATAGTGAATAAAATGTAGTCACTAGAGTTAGAGTGCCTAAGTTCAAATCCAAATTATACCTCTTATCGGTCAGCTCACTTTGCAAATTATTTGACCTTTTCTGTCCCTCAATTTCTGCATCTGTCCAGTAGCTTGTAGGGAAGCTTAATAACATGATCCAGGCCATATGAAGCATACCACAGAGTGCTAGACCCATGATGAGCACACATCACAGGGATGTTTATGATATGAGGAGTATAAACATGAGGCTCATATCACTGAAAAAAAGTTGATAATAAGCGCATAACCTATCATGAACAACTTTTGAAAAATTATGGTTGAGTGGAGAGGTTCAAGCTTTATCTAATAGCTTTGTTATGAGTGCAACACATTTATTTGCCAAGGGAAAGTTAACTGATACACTGTTTCCTTGTGGGGCAGGAAGAAGAAGCGAGCTGTCATCATGATGGTGACAGTAGTGGCTCTCTTTGCTGTGTGCTGGGCTCCTTTCCACGTTGTTCACATGATGATTGAATATAGTGAGTGTTTGTCATTGTCATTGATAGACTTTCTAGTTCATGTCTTATCAGAATGGTCAACAAATCATTGAAATATATTGCTATTCTCTTGAGTAATCCACTATCAAATACTGAATGTATTTACTTCATGCTTTCAAGATTCCTGGATCAACATGTGGTATGTCATAGTGCGGGACTATGACTAAGTCTTTAGTTATTACAGACAATAAAGAAAAGCTTTCAGATTCATCTCCCATGTTTTCCTTTCTGTGGTCCCTAAGCTATTTGACATGGAGAAAGGGCAATATCATATGAGTCTTCTCTATTTACAACTTGACTTGTACCTTGTGAAATTAATAATTCTTAGGATTTCAGTCAGGCCTTCAGTGTACTTTCTCTGATAACTCAGGACTATGTGGTTCTCAGTAGGATTGTGTTTCTGCAATTCAAGTGAATATTCGAGGGTTAAGGTTGCTTCTAGTTTACATGAAACTTACAGTCATCAAGTTAGAATACTTTGAATCTTCACGCTGAAATGTGTTTGGCAAGAGCCTATGCATGCAGGACAAAACTGTGTACACATGAAGACTCATCACAAAGGTTATTTTCCAGATATCATCAAATGATCTTATTATACCTTTAGCCATTAACACAAATTCAAGTTTTTGGTAAAGACATTAAACAGAATTTTTATTTTATGCTTAATAAAACAAATAAGCATTCTAAAGTATTACTTTGTTTCAGGTAATTTTGAAAAGGAGTATGATGAGGTTACAATCAAGATGATTTTTGCTATAGTGCAAGTAATTGGATTTTCCAACTCCATCTGTAATCCAATTGTCTATGCATTTATGAATGAAAACTTCAAGAAAAACTTTCTGTCTGCAGTTTGCTATTGTATAGTAAAAGAAACCTTGTCACCAGCAAGGAAGCATGGAAACTCGGGAATTACAATGATGCAGAAGAAAGGAAAGCTATCCCGAAGAGAGAACACAGTAGAGGAGACAAAAGGAGAAGCATTCAGTGACGGCAACATTGAAGTCAAGTTGTGTGAACAGGCAGAGGGGAAAAAGAAATCTCAAGCGACATCTGCCCTCTTTAGCTGTGAACTTTCTAAGAATTCAGCTTTAGGCAACTAGCATTAAATGTAACAATGTCTTCATAATTAATATGATTTATCTTATAATCTGAATGTTATTTTCAGCAAAGGTCAAAGAGTTTTAAAATGGCTACAAGAAGGACACAAATCACGTTTTTCCAATTTAAAATGACATTATACGTGAACATATAATTTTTAAAAATTCCTAAACCATCCCTATAGGTTATTAAAATGGAATTTTAGAGACTTTGTATAGAAATCAATGTTCTTGGCTAGCAGTTTTCCCTTGTGCAGTGAATATAATGTGATTTTCTATGTATTGCTAAATTGGATGAAAAACATATTAAAAGTATGTCTGTTTTCTTGACTATTAAGTAAAAAGCTGAATAGTGTGATATAATTCATACTGCACTGTTGAAATGAAATGATAGAATCTTTCACAAGTGAAATCTGTGCCATAATCATGGAATCGAAGACGATGGGGCAGCAGCCAAGTGATGAATTAGACTTTGAGGTAGATGCCTATATTAGAGCTTCTTACAGCCCTCCAGGTTACCATTTCTCAGATGACTTCCAAGTGACTTCAGCTTTTTGTCTCTTTTAACTCCTCATGTGTTCCTGGGCAAACTGGGGACGTTACATTTTCTGTTTCACACAGTCACTGTGAGAGCTTAACAAGGTGTGAGCAGAAATGCACTCTGTGCTCTATAGCATCCTCAGGTCTGCAGTGCTTTGCTGGTTCCTCCTGCTGTGAACGTCCTCTTTCCATTCCTGCTGCCTTCTGAGACTTGCTCTCCATCCCTAGTCCTGTCCGACTTTCCTGTCATGCTTATTTTGCAACTGATTTCTCTAATCAAAAGAAAGAGTTAGGGATTCTCACTTATCGATGGACTGTAATATAATTAGATCAATCTAACATCCTCTATATTTTAAGACCCTTATTTTCACTAGTAGGACTGAATAATTGTTCATATATAAATAACTTTTTTAATGTAGTAAGTAGATGGAGTAATCAACATCAGTCCATAAAGTTTTCCGGTGCCCAAGGCTGATCCCTAGAACTGGGTCAGGAAGAAAAATATAAATCCCCAGCCATATTCCTTCAACCCTCATTTTACTCTCTCTTCAGGCTCCTGACACCCAAGTGTCATGGATCCAGAGGCCACCAGCACAGCCCTCTACCACCTCCCCTTCAACATCTGAGATTTCCAAAGTCCAGCATAGCCTTAGGGCCAAAACTATTTTCTGCCTCCGGTTTTGCAGCACTTATTCTCCTAGTTACATAATAGATAAGAAAAGAAGTCCATCCAAAGGATGATTTGTGATTTAAGGTTTAAGACTGGAAAACCAAAGAACTCAGGTTGTGATAACTCTCAAGTTACAGACCTTTAATTTTGTATGTCATTGAAACATGCATGGAAAAGACAAAACTGAAACAGTGTGTGGGGTTTTTAAAAAGTGCCATTATGACACAGAAAAATAAACAAAGAGAAGAGAATGGGATTGCTTATTTATTTGGTTTGTATGGGTGAGCATCACGTGGGTAATTTATATAAACTGTCTGTATGTGATTCCTGATGACTTTATAACAAAACACTGGTGATCATTAACCATTAAAGCATTACAAGTAAGTCAGATTCACTGATTTTGAGTCTTTTTTCTTAATTAGTAAATATTCACATGACTTTCTAGATTTGATGCACATATGCTCAAAACATGGCAGCAAAATCAGGCAAATCAACAGATATTGAACATGTAATTATTAAAGTTATAGAAATTCAATTCTTGCAAATCTTCAACTGAAAATATTTAGGTATTAGGTAATAACATTTACTGTAAAATTTCTAGACACAATGTAAAAGTTTTTAAAAAATTTTGCCCATATTTGTACTGATGCTATTCTAAGAAACAGAAGTATAGAGCTATGTGTATGTGTGTCTTTTACATGTAAAATCTTTCTGCTCTCTTAAAATTTAAAAGAGAAATGTTGTCCAGTCTGTTACTGGACATTTCCTACTATCAGCTAAAGAAGCTCTGAGTCCAGATACTGGTATAACACAACTTGTGAGTCTATAGATTGTTCACTTTTTGTTTTAGTTACTTTTCTCACTGTTGAGACAGAACGCCCGACACCCAGAGTTAAAGGAGGAAAGGTTTACTTAGCTCACAGTTTGGAGAGGTTTCAGTCCAGCTAGCTTCAAGGCAGGGTTGGGTGGCAGACAAGAGAAACAGTTCATTGTGAGCAGAAGGTAGCAAAGCAACAAGGGACAGTCATAGCTCTTTCCATCCCTTATATCTTCTCCAGGCTACTTAGGGACTCACGACCTTAATTCTAGTGCTCTTGATCCTAGCACTGCACCATGAATCAATTCCAGTGTCACGTACTCTAAAGCCAGCCACCTCTGAAAAAGCCCCACCTATGACCACATGAGACTTTGGGGGAACATCTAGACAGAAGCCAAATAACACCTTGGATTTGCAAAAGGAGCCCTAATTACTGTCATCACTGTCTTCTCCATGACCTCACAGCCCCTTTGGTCTTTTAACTCCTCTGTCCTTGACTTAGTAATCTGCTTTCCTCCTTGCGATTCTCTACTGCAGACTGTTACTCATTATATCTATCTAGTTTTTCTTTACTTGGTTCTTGAACTGAGGATTAAAAAGCTTCCTTTGAACCCAAGAAGCAGGGTTGTGGAGGAGTACAGAAAAATTGACATTCCATTTCTTAACATTTGAAAACATCTATGGAAAATAAAGTTATGGTTCTCAGACTTTTATTTCACTATAGATCATCAGGAAAAGAGAGTTTTGCATCTTTTCCCCATTCTGCCAATGGCTATTTCCCTCCTCTTATAGGTTGGTATGGGTCAGGGCAGCAGCATTGTGCATACTAGCTTGATTAAGATTAATTACTAGTTTCCAAACCAAGAACCCAGCTGTAAACCTCTACTATCTTACTTGAAGACTTATTATAAATTACAATGATCAAGAGAATGATATTGCCCTAAGGATAAATGTTCAGCTAAACACAAAAGAATAGAGTTATCAAATATTAGAATTATCAAATGTTAGAAAGAGATATCAGGTAGCATATATGTACTTATATATATTCAACTTATTTTAACCAACGTGGCAACATAATTCAGTGGTGGAAAGGACAAACTTTCAAACAAATGTTATGGAATAATTGAATATCCAAGTACCAAAAATAGGGCCTTAAACCATATGCTACATAAAAAATTAATTCATAACACCTCATAGATTTAAATTAGATAGAACTAAATCCATTAAACTTATAGAAGAAAACACAGAATAAAATCCTTATACCCTCGTAGGCAAAGCTTTTATAGGGTACTAAAAGCATAAGATTGATAAACCTAACTTAATCAAAATTAATAAATTCTGCTATTTGAAAGACACTTAGAAAAATAAAATACAAGTCATAGTTTGTAAGAAAGTGTGAACAAAACATAACTAGTAAAGAAGACACACCCATTATTTTTACAAAACTTTATTTTACTTTTTGGTGCCAGGGATTGAACTCAGGACCTTGTGCTTACCAGACAGGCACTTATGCTACTGAGCTATATCCCCAGCCTTTTATTTTTTTAAAAAAATTTTATAACTCAATAATAACATTGTCAAGTTATTTGAACAAATAATTCGTTCAAGATACACATATCTCCAGTAAGTGTAAAAAGTTGCCCAATGTTAGTAGTCATAATACATAAGTGTGACAAAATGACTATATCCTACCATTAAAGATTTACCAGAATAGTTAAAAGGTGTTGCCAAGGATGTTGACAACTGGAATTTCCATACACGCTGGTGGGATTATAAAATGATGCAGCCACTTGAGAAGTAATTTATTGGTGAATGAATGGTATGCTTATTCTATAATCCAGGAAGTCTACAACTGGGTATTTTCCCAAGAGAAATTAAAACATATATTCTTACAAACATCTGGATATAAATGTTCACAGCAGCTTCATTCATTGTAGCAAAAACCTAGAAGCAACCCAAGTTGCTATCAACTGACACATAGATAAATGAGCTGTGATATATTTTACCAACTGAATGTTGTTCAGAAATAAAAAAAGAATGAGCTATTGAGGCTTAATATATTCAACAAATATAAATTTCAAAAGTATTATGCTAAGTGAAAGAAGCTAGACAAAAAAAGACCATGTACTCTGTGATTTAATTTTCATGAAATTCCAGAAAAAATAAAATTAAGGGTAGAAAATACGCAGGTTATTGCTAGAGTATAGTTAAGCCCAGGCAATAGAATGTTAACGGTATGAGGAACAATTTTTGGATGGCAGAAAATAATATTTTGACTCTGAAAATGCTGGTGATATTATAATACATGGGCAAAATTCATTAAATCACATACTTTAAAGCAGTGATGGTAAACCTTTTGTAGATGAGTACCCAAACTACAACCTAAAACCCATTTATTTATTTATTGCAAAGTGTGAACACTGCAATAAACCTGAGTGCTGAGGTTTAACATCAACTCATCCATTAACATTTTTTGTCTTAAAAGGAAAACATTATTATGGTTTGTATCTGGATGTCCCCTGAAAGCCTCATGCAGTCATGGGGTGGGCCTCTAGATTTTTCCATTGATTCATGATCCAATGCTGGGATTATGGGTGTGAGTGCTACACCCACCCTGGGGCAAGTAGTTTGCATACAGTGTAAGGGAGGGAAAGAGTCTTGCTCTTGCTGCTCCTCCCATTTTGCTCTTATTGCTTTTGCTGTTTTCCACTGCCATAAACTGTTGACCTCTGCCATGTGCCACTGTGCCATGGAGCCAGCTGATTACGGACTGAAACCTCCACAAACTGTGAGCTAAATGAACCTTTCCTTCCTTAATTTCAAGCATCAGGTATTTTGTCTCAGCAATGAGAGAGAAATAACCAAGACAAACATGCTTGCGATAGGTTTGCCACTACTGCTTTAAAGGCATAAATTATTATATGCAATTATACTTTGAATTTTCAAAGTGCATTTCATTTCCAAATGCAAAACTGCCAACTCATCCTATTGGTTTCTTGACCTGGGGGATATAGGCTTCTGCAGTATGAAAAGCCTTTGAAACTGCCCTACCACCAACACTACCAATTAAGAGAGGGAATCAAAACCAACAAACCTCCCCAGAAACAACAGAGACTAGAACTATTCTCAAAGATTGAAATGATATAGAATATACACCCATCATATCTCATTTCATTCACTAATATGACCTCTACCAAACCTGGATGGGTCATAACATATAACAGTAGACTCTCACATACTTGAATAGCAGCTCCAGGGTATAGGGTCTTTACCAGACAAGATACTTACAGCCTCTGATACATTGTGTGTAGCTATTGATAAGGCAAACACCATGATTTTGATGCCTATTAAAAAGGAGAATCAATCCCCTCCAGGTTGTGGGAACATGGTGATAATCTCTCATGTGTGGCAGGAAAATTCACTAAACTGAATTGTCCAAATAAATTTCAGGAATGTGGGGATTGCAGAAGTACTTCTCAATTTTTTCTATTTTGAACAAGAAATAAAGGACCAAGATTTCTTAATGATTACCTGAACATCTCCTTGGAAGCTACACCTCAAATCCTCTATGAAAGCAGATATAGCTCAGAATGCTGGAGTCTTCCACTTCCATACCCTGTCTTTGCAAGCTCACATACCACACATGGAGGCTGACAGGGCTCATCAGGACTTGCTACCACTTGTAAACTGTGAGGCCCAGAAAGGACTGTTAGCTGGCAGTGCCACTGAGGTTTCTGCTCTTTCCTGGCTTTTGTAAAGTCACTTTTCAGGGTGACGATTAATTCATGCAAGTTTAGGTGGTGACGTCTAACAATTTGAAAGGGCAGAGAAAAATCTAAATATAAATGTGCATTAGTCTCTAAGATACTCTCACACAGACTTCTACCATGGACTCAGTGAATATCTCCTATTTCTCTGATTTTCTGCTGGCACAGCTTTCAGTCAGAAAGGAGATTACAGGCCCTGAAGTTCATTCAGCCAGGGTCAAATTCCATTCTCTTTTTCAAAGGAACTGAAATGACAGCCTTTATCCAAGTTATTGACTTTTTTTGTTCTATTCTGGTTGATGATGGTAGTAGGCCAAATTATTGAAATCTTAAGGTGAAGAGGATCCTTGTTATTTCCCACCCAGTGAAAAACCAAGGCCAGAGATACCTAGAGAGAGCTTTACCTACATCTGTGTTTCTGAAGCCGACAATGTAGTGGTAATAAAGGCAACTTAGCTGCTATTCCAAAATACTTGTTACAATGAAGTGTAACTATGACTTCTCCCTGTTAAATATGCACTGAAACCCTCTGCATCTGAATGGCACAGTCCTGTTGATTTACCCTGCTGTGGTGGAGCTGCATGATCTCATGGGATCACTCTTTTGTTAAAGATTGACATTTCAAGGGGGTTATGGGGCAGAGGAGTCCTAAAGGGTTT